AAGAACTTAAGTTTGTATCTCAAGCTGATCTCTGGCACAGATAAAGCTTACAGCAATCATCAAACCAAAAATCAGCAAACCTGGGGAGGTGGAGAATCTGATTTCCAGTTATTACATTATTGATTCAAATGTCCAGTTTTCAACAACAACAGCAACACAAGCACAAGGCATACCAAGAAACATGAACATATGGCCCATTCAAAGGAGGTAAAAAACAAACAGAAATTATCCCTGAGAAAGATCAGATGGCACACTTGCTGGAAAAAGTCAAATAATTCTCTTAAACATGCTCAAAAAACTAAAAGAAGATGTGGAGAAAATAAAAATGATATATGAGCAAAATGGAAATATCAAGGTATAGAAAAAAATTTTTTTAATCTTCAGCTGAAAAGAATACTAACAGAAATGAAAATTTTACTAGAGGGATTCAAAGGCAGATTTGGACAAGCAGAGAAAAGAATTAGAGAACTTTAAGATAGAAAAATGGACCTTATCTTGTCTGGCACACAGAAAGAAAACAAATTGAAGAAAAGTGAACAGAGCATGAGGGACCTTGTAGAGTACCATCAAGCAGACAACATATGCACTGAGGAGTTCCAGAAGGAAAACAGAGAAAGAGGCAGAGAAAATACTTGAAATAATGGCTGAAAACTTCCAAAATTTGATGAAAGCATGACTATAAACATCTAAGAAGCTTAACTAACTTAAAGTGAAGCGAACTCAAGGATGTTCTCCATATCCCTGGGAAGAGTATGTGTGTGGTCTTTTTTAACTGTAAAAATAAAAATATATAGTTAAGAGTTTTACAACTGGGGAGAGCTGGGGGGTTGGCTGGAATGGGAGTAAAAGACAGAAAACTGTACTTGAACAATAATTAAATTTTTAAAAAAGTTTTAAAACAAGAAATTCCGTAATATTTGCAAAACAGTCATGCAAATACATCTTATGATGGGAAATATATGGAAAAATGTTTATATGGCATTACGGATGATTGGATCTGCCCTTTCCCACTAGCTTGTAGGTTCTTTTACGTCCCAATTTTTTAAACTGCTAATACAATTTTATTCATTGCAATTGATATAATTTGCAATGTATATCATTCAAACACAAGCCTTTTTTTTTTTATGTGCTTCCCTAAGACACGGGAGTATTTTGATTGAAAATTTCCAGTTCTCTCTCTTTTTTTTAGAGAGAAGGGAAGGGAGGGTGAGAAACATCAATGTGTGAGAAATACACAAATCAAATGGCTGCCTCTCAACCAGGGGCCAAACCTGCAACCCAGGTATGTGCCATGACTGGGAATTGAACTGTGAATGATGTGTCAGTTTAAAGACTATGCTCCAACCAACTAAGCCACACTAACCAGGGCCTTTCCAGTTCTCTTTTATTTTTTTTAATATTTTATTTATTTATTTATTTATTGAGAGAGGTGAAGGGAGGGAGAAAGAGAGGGAGAGAAACATCAATGTATGGTTGCCTCTTATGTGGCCCCCACCGGAGACCTGGCCCACAATCCAGGCATGTGCCCTGACTGGGAATCAAACTGGCAACCCTTTGGTTCGCAGGCCAGTGCTCAGCCCACTGAGCCACACCAGCCAGGGAGTGATTGTTGAAATAAATGAATGCATTATCTAACTTAAAGATTAACTAATTAAAAAGTGATACCCAGGCCCTGGCTGGTATAGCTCAGTGGATTGAGCGCGGGCCTGCGAACCAGACAATCCCAGTTCGATTCCCAGTCAGGGCACATACCGGGGTTGCAGGCTGGTTCCCTGCAGGGCAGTTCCCAGCAGGGGATGCATGAAAGGCAACCATACATTGATGTTTCTCTCCCTCTCTCCTTCCTTTCCCCTCTAAAGATAAATAAATAAAATATTTTTAAAAAAGTGATACCCAAAGCCATGAAAATGGATGACAGCACTTAGGGAGAGACAAGAGATAGACAGGCTGGTGGATGACTGACCCTGGGGCTCTCCAAATGGTAAAGACTTGGGGAGGAGGAAGAGGACTCAGCAAGAGAGACTGAAGGAGGAATAAAAGCAGGTAAGTGTGAGCTCTTGGAAACCTTGTGACAAAAGGGTCAAAGAAGAAGTGTTCAGCATCAAGTGCTGCTCAAAGGCCTAGTAAGACGAGAAAGGACAGGTGACTGTGATATTTTTAATAAGAGCCACTTCAGTGGAATGATGGAGAAAAAAGTTGATTAGGGTAGCATAAAAATAAAAGAGGTAAGGAAAGTGGACACAACGCACCTGAGGTTTTGTGGGGGACGGTGGCATAGGAAAGTGTAGTAAGCTGGGAAGGGGCAATAGAGAGCTTTGAGATGGGTGATATTAAGGGAATGATGCAGGGGAGAGGGAAATATAGATAATGCATTAATAGATGAGAGACTGCCACAGCGCTAACCTCTTGAGAAAAGCACAAAGTGACTGGGCCTTGAACAGGAGCACTTCATACTTCCTTCACTGGGCATTTAAGAGGAGAAAAAGCATCAATAAGGCCAGGAGTGATGCTAGTTCATTCCTCTCTTTATTTAGGGTTTTAAACAGAGCTCTTACCAAAATATATACTTACTTACCTTTTGGTACTAAACACCTTTATTTTGGCTGACTGATCATTAAAACATAATAAGCCTATAGCTGTGTCCACCCTATGACATTACCATTCAAAACAAATCTCATTCGTTGTTTAAGCTCACCCTAGTAAAGATCACAATTGTAGGAACCACATCCTGTTTTGATGAGCTTCTGGAACACCACCAGACATGAAGATGAATGCACCTCCCCTATAGCAGTAGATAAAACCTGAGAGTTGAATTCCACTCAACTCCAAAGCAGAAAAATTAATAGGATTGCCTGGGTTGCTGTGTTGTCCTTCTTTCTTTTTCATTATCATTGCTAAATCCAATTTCATTTTGAGATACTCCTACTTGTTTGGTAATAAACCAAAACAGCATACTGCAAACAATAGCTTTAAGTTTCATTTTATATACCTATTCCTTATTTCATTCCAAAAGTTGGAGGCAACTTTCAGGTGTCCATGCAAGATAATGAAAATACTTAGAAAAGAGAAAATGAGCAGACAAAAATTCAAGCAGGGCTATTGTTAATAAATGTCTTTATGACCTCATTCCTGTGAAGGGGTCAAAGTAAAAACATGTATAGTTTTTAGTGTTTATAAGAGAAAAGCATGCTCCTTAGAAGCAAAGCCTGTTTGTATCACTGATACTGAAGATAAATTTATCCCACAGGCCCTCTTACAAGGAATACTGTTAATGCTGTGTACCTCTTCAACATCCATAAAAGAAGTGGCGATGCAGATTACACATTCTAGCTTCTCTGCCCCTTGTGAAAGAGAAGGCCCTGCCGGTGTGTGTGCCAATTAAAAAACCTGTACAGGAAGTCACCACAGTCCAGTCCAAGGACACAGTTCCTTGATGAAAACTGAGATTAAAATTTTAAGTATTATTGAAATTCTGGGACATTATGGTAATTGAGTTCAGTGCATGCTGAGAATTAATATTCAAGTAAGACTCCAAAGTACTCTAAAAATGATGAATTTTAAGAAGATGAAACTAAAAAGGTGTAAGGTTTCTCCCAAGTTTGGGATTAGCTGAATATTGCATTTTCTACACAGGCAGTTATTAATTTATTTGGCTTATTGAGAAACCTCTGGAATCATTCCAAGAAGGTGTTTACTGGCTCAGAACAGAAATGCCCGTATGGCATTTACATGTATTTTTATGGTTGTCTTCAGCAGTGAAAGTTGGTCTGAAATACCTAGGCTGCCATGACTAGCAATTGAACTCTGTAATATATTCCTGAATGAACTTCCTTCACTAAATATGGCATTTCAAGGAGACACTTGCTCCATGGACATACTCCAAATGAGGACTGGGATCCTAGGGTGAGTAAATAGGACTGTTCCATGTAGGAAGTACCAGGTAATCTTCCCCGTTTGCTGGATATTCTGAGTTCACAACTTAAAAATACATTTTAGACTCAACATAGTGAAGGTGTCTATTCTCCCCCAAATTCATTATAGGTTCAGCACAGTTGCCATCAGACAAATCCCTGCAAGATATCCTGTAGCTTATTCTAACATATATATGGAAAAGGAAAGAAACTAGAATAGCTCAAACAATTTGGAAAAACAATAAATTAGGAGGAATTGCTCTATGCAATTTTAAAACTTACTATAACTGAAACCGTGTGGTATTGGTGTAGGGATAGACCCAGATCAATGGACTAGAAGAGAGCCCCAAAACAAACTCACACAAGGATCATGCACTGATTTTTGGCAAACTTGCAAAAGCAAGTCTATGGAGGAAGGACAGACTTTTCAACAAAGGGTGGTAGAACAATTGGACATCATAGATTACAAAGTTAACCTCAACCTAAACCTCACCACACCTTAAAACTGGACTCAAAATGGATTGTAGATTTAAATGTAAAATTATTAGAAAAAATTGAAAATTTTAGGATGTAGGGCTAGGTGAAGAGTTCTTAGGCATGACATCAAAAGCACAATCTGAAAAACAAAATATTGATAAATTAAATTGTATCAAAATTAAAAGACTTTTAAAAATGAAATGTTTGCTCTGTAAAAGGCTGTTAAGAAGATGAAAAGCATCTTATAAACTGGGAGAAAATATTTGCAAACCACACATCTGACAAAACTTGTACCTAGAATATATAAAGAACTCAGCAGTAAAAAGCAATCAATTAATTTTAAAATGAGCAATGAGAACATATATTTTACCAAAGAATGTAAGTATAGCAAATAAGCACAAGAAACGGTGTTTAACATCACTAGTCATTACGGAAATGTAAATTAAGAGCAGAATGAGATGTCATTTCAAGCCAATTAGAAAGGCCAAAATAAAATACAACACCAAATGCTGATGAGGATGCAGAGAAACTGGATGTCTCATGCATTGCTGGTGGGACTGTAAAATAGTACAGTCACTCTGGAAAATAAATAGTTTGGCAGGTTCTTTTTTCACTCACATCAGACAAATGGCATATCTCTTCAGCAGTCAATCTGCTGAACTGTGCAACTATCATAGTATTGACGGGTTCTTAAACTAAACATACACTTACCATATGATCCAGCAATTGCATCCTGAACATTTATGCCAGAAAAATGGAAACTTATGTCCACACAGAAACCCATACAGGACTGTTCACAGCAGCTTTAATTTGTAATAGTCAAAAACTGGAAACACCCTGACTGGTGTAATTCACCCTGGCTGGTGTGGCTCAGTGGATTGAGCACAGGCCTGCAAACCAAAGGGTCACCAGTTCAATTCCCAGTCAAGGCACATGCCTGGTTTACGGGCCAGGTCCCTGGTGAGGGGTGCATGAGGGGCAACCACATATTGATAGTTCTCTCCCCCTCTTTCTCCTTCCTTTCCCCTCTCTCTAAAAAGAAATAAAATCTTTTTAAAAAATGGAAACAAGCCAAATGTCCATTCAAGCTGAATGGATAAACAAACTATGGGACATCCATACTGCTCAGCAATTAAAAAGGAACAAACTGCAACGACTCAAATGGCTCTCAAGGACATTATGCTGAATGACAAAAAGCCAATCTCAAAAAGTCACATATTACACAATTCCATTTGGTTAACAATTTTGAAATGACATTTTAGAGAGAGAAAATAGGTGAATAGTTGGTTGCCAGGGACTAGTGACAGGGTCAGGAGGCAGAAAGGGGCAGGTGTGACCATAGAGAGAGCATCAGGAAGATCTTGATGATGGTGGTGGTAGTGGAACAGTTCTGTGGAGGTGGCCACTCAAATCAACACCTGATAAAACTGCATAGAACTACACACACACAAGTACATACAAAAACTAGAGAAATCTGAATAAGGTCTGTGACCTTCAATCATGTCCAGTTCCTGGTTTGATGTTGTGCTAGTTATGCCAGGTGTTACCACTGGGGGAAATGGGGGAGCAGCACACAGGACCTCTCTGTCCTATTGTCACAACCTCTTGTTAATCTATAATCATTTCAAACTAAAAAATCAAAAACCCTGAGTTTTATTGGAAAATATATTCTAATTATATAAAACTTGTCCAATATAAATATGAAGCAGAATATCTTTTAGCTTTTCATTTCATTTATTGATTTTAGAGAGAGGAAGGGGGAGAGGGAGAGAGAGGAACATTGACTTGTTGCTCCACTCATTCATGCACTCACCGGTTGATGCTTGCATGTGCCCTCAAGAGGGATTAAATTCACAACCTTGGCATATCGGGATGGCACTCTAACTGAGCATCCAGCCAGGGTTCTTTTCAAAATTTCAACCAGAAGCAAGAATTGTCACTATTTTAGCAAAGTTGCTCCTAGTCTTTTGTGTTCTCACAGTAGTTGAGATCATTCTGAACACTCCAACTGTAACCTACTCTTTCCTCACCTACTAAAGCAATTATTTTCTCCACATCGCTAGTTACTGTAAATGCATATTCTGAGTACAATATATAAAATTATTCTGAATGTTAATTTAGCTCATTCTAATTAGGAGAAACGGTGAAATGCACAAAAGTTAACATAGTATAGGATATATCTAGGCAATAGGGATAGGAAGTAAGTCAAATAAAAGCTGCACAGTGTCGGGAGCCGCCCAACAGCCGTCCCTTGACACAGTCGGACGAATGAGATGCATCTGCACAGCAGTGGCAACTGTGGCTGGCTTTCCTATCTCTCCCTTGCATGTTTGTCTTTGTGATTAATAGGTGGTGGAATTTTTAGACACCTGCATTTCAGTTCCAATGATCCGCGTAATTCCAAAGAAGTTATACAAAATAATTTCTTGGCCAGAAAACAAAGTCCCCCCTAATGAAGTAGCCCCTGAATATATCTAAAAGTTGGTGGAATAACAGCCCCTCCTCTACCTTGGACAGGAATATATATTAATTAGAAGTATACAGGCAAAGAAACAGAAGCTGGTTAGCTAGTACAAGCATGTAGAAACAATTACCAAGGAGTTACAGTCCATATTACATAAAGAAACATTTTAGACAGAAAGATAGATAGCTAAGTTACACGTCACACAGACCTTATAATGAATTTCCTAATCTCTGCTCGGTCTAGCGTACCCTTTTGCCCCATGTCAAATTCTAAGACCTTTAATAAACAATAAGACATTCAAACTGCACATAGAGCTATTTCAAATTGTCTGATTAATGGCTCTGCTGGTCAAAATAACTTTTAACGTAATTGAAACTATGGAAATTCTTGTACTTTTCCTGGTTACCTCTGTATTGTTTTTTTTCTGCTTAACTGATCACGCCATGCACCTGTTCCTTTAATGTTATACAACAATCTCTATAAAAATAAAGCCTAAATCAAACTATGCGTTAGGTCAGACCCACAGAGGCTGGCTGTTCTCCCGTGTCCAATCGGGTGTCTGACTCACCATTCATCACCTGCACCATCCATCCTTCGGGGACGCTGAACCCTACTGAGGCTGGACCCCGGCAGCACAGGTAGACTTGTACATCATAAGGGCCACTTAATAGAATGCCATTAATGTGGTTGCAGTATCTATTATAACTTGGAACATGTTAATGGCAATTGGAAGTTTCGGAACAGTTGATAAAAGGTACAGAACAGTGGACTCCATACCTAACTTTGCACCAGAATTTCCTGGAGGGACTTAGGAATAACAAAAGCAGAAGCAAAACAGATTCCTGAGTGAACCCCAGAGACAGATTTTATTAGGAGTTGCCCTAGAATCATTTCCTATGTACTTCTGTTGCAACACCCAGTTCCAAGAGGGGAAGGATTACACCTGAATTCATTGCTACGTTCACCAGTCTATTAGATAACCCACCAGGCCCCACAGGTGACTAAGTCAGGAGTGGAGGTTCAGTGACCATCCTGCGTGCCACTAATTAACTGATGGCAGGTAAATGAGATGGGCTGTTGTAAGTTTGAGTGTGGTGTGCAACTGCACTAGAATGAGGATATCTAGCCAAAGATGGAAACATTTTTACTCAGGTCTCAGAAAATTCTCAGTACATGTTCTCATCCTGCAAACTTTAACTCAAAGCAAAATGAAAGCTTTCATTAGGTTGAACCGTATTAAACTGTCAACTTATGACCATTTTTGTCCCCCTAAACTGAAACGGGCCTTGTCTCATACAGTTCACTTCTATTAGTTACGACTCACATCATCTCCAGTTCATTGGCAGCCTGAAGCAATGTGATGTCAGCAAAAAACAAAGTGGACTTGGGGTTCCCCCATGCCACCTCACTCTTAACCCAAATGCATTTTTGAACTTTAAGTCCTTACCATCACCGGTTACTTTTACCCAATTCCTTCCACTTCAAGTCTTCATGTCAAGTGCTTCAAATAAGATTCCAATTCTTACTTTAAGATGCTTAAAGCACAAGCCTATTTGTAATACACACTGTACCTCATTAAGGAGGTTTTAGATTTCCATATTACAGAAATCTATTTCACTATATTGCAAACACTTACGGTACCAGAGTAATTCTGTCTCCAAGAGGCATGTCAAAATTAGCACTGAACAGCAGCCAAAAAAATAACATCTTTCAATTCAGGCAAGAGCACAACTTTATTTTCACTGCTAATAATAAACCACAATTGACAACAACAAAGGAGACTGTGCAGTTCAACTTTTTATTTTAATAAAATCAGAATATGCACAGCACATGCAGTGCTAGCATCTAAACTAATACAATAAGCAATTACTAAAGCTACAGTGACTTGAGGTTCAATCCTTACATTCAGCAAGTTTAAATCCACTCTTATGATTTTTGAAACTTTATAACTGAAAATATTGCTTACTGATAAAACTTGCTCAAATGCTATTGCTGAATGTACAAGTCACTGATTATGCCAATACAACAAAGATAACCACATGTTTGAGGATTGCAATGTGCCAGACATTCACTGAAAAAAAAAAACACACAACTAAACAAAACTCACGCAACAAACATCTGAGAATCTGGACACTTCGTATCAGTGTTTTGAAGTGTTTCATTAATATCTTAAGACAAGTGTATCAAAACCTTGGCATGTTTTAATTTCAAGTCGCCAATTTTGTTTTTACTAACATCAGAAAATTATGGCTATACTGCCAATGCCGGGTCTGCTTAATTTGACTTAAGAGTTTAATATGACTTAACATTAAAAGCTCACACTACCCCGAAATATATAATTTCACGCATACGGTGACATTCAACATTCAAGTGCCAGTGTTTTTGTACTGTCTTTTGGTCAAGTTTCTTTAAACTTTCAAAGAATCACTTTTAGGCTTACAAAAATAAATATTTGTCAAAATGTTCAATAAATATTACATAAAACTAGCAGCAAAAAGTATCTAGAAATCTGTCGTGTGCAAAGTTTTCTTCCCAACTATCACTCCCATGGTCCCAAATAAATTTTAGAATCTAGTCCCATCCCCCTTCCTAGACAAGCTGCGTTCAACAATCTCCAAGAGACAAAATAAGATTGGAAGTTTAAGGACACGCACACAAGACATATATATAAAATTCTCTGAATGTGCAATAAAAGAAGTATTTTGTAAAAAGTTATGGGCAAAATGTACAAGGGCCTAAACCTAGACTAATTGAAATAGCACCATAACAAATGACCTCAATACTGTCAAGTGCACCTACTTAATAAAAGTTTTGAACAAGGCACAATACACTTGAAAATCTATTGCACTTTAGGAAATTTTTGCCGTCTCCCTATGCCACTGTAAAAAGATTGAGCGTTTTGATCACTGCATTCTGGCCACAAAATTAGCACAGAATTCAAAGTGGCAGAGGCATTTTAGTGGTGGACAATGCTCATCTTTGGCCAGATTTAGCATAACAGACTATAAATACAATGGAAACCTATGCAACTAAAACTGACTGAAACTGCACTGTATAGCAGAATTGACACCTTGTGCAGTTATGTACATATTTCCAACCTGTGTGATCTCAAAGATTTCAGTTTGTTACTCTTCTGGAGCCATTTTTACAAAGTCTATAGTAAGCCAGTTTAACATCTCAACGCAGCTTGAACAGAGTAATGTGAATCGGCATTTA